AAAAAAAAAAAAAGCGAAAAACAAGAAAAACAACAAAACGCCCGACGCTACCTAAGATTTCGAAAGGGCACATATACAATCAAAAAAAAAGTGATAAAAAGAAAGAAACCTGTCATTCTTCTTCTTTTCCCTCTTGGGTAGGGTGCCCGCCTTCCCGCCTTCTTAAACCGGGGAAAAAAAATAACAACAACAAAAACGACAACAAAAACCTGGTTTTCTTCTGGCAGCGAGGGACAAGGCTTCCCATTTCTTCTGCTGCAAGTGCCTTTGGTCCCTTTCTATTATTATTTTTTTTTTTCTCTTTTTCCTTTTCCCAATTACCCATTTGCCTAATATTTGAAAATGACGTTTTCAAGTGGTTGACGTTCGGCTTTGCATGTCACTGCGGCCTCCCGATATTCATCTAGCACGGCTCGTGTTACTTTACGGTTGTTTTCAATGTTTTTAAAGTCAAACTCATTCGCTACAATAGCCGGCGGAAACTGATTAAGATGGGAAAGGTGGGTCTGATACGCATCTGTTTGAAAGTACAACTGGTACACACGGTAAATAGAATAGCCGACAATACTGAGCAACAAAAAATCTCCCACAACAGTATACTGTCGGGTTTCATCAGCGATACTCTCCCGTCGACTAAGGTGGTGATACCAGTCAGACTTAAACGGGAGTTTAACTGGCCATGGCCAACCGCCATAAGTCTCGTTTCCGGCCCTTCGCAAAATTGTACGTGCAAACATTGCGGATAAGATATGAAAAACAATACAACTCCAACTATTTCTTGTTTATTCTAAACGTAATCCCCTTGCTTCATTTTAAAAAAAAAGGATGAAATAAGTATACCCCAATACTATATTAGAAAACAACAACAACAGTAATAACGGTAATTTTGCTAGTTAATAACTTTATTTTGCATAAGATTCTTAGTTGTCGTGCAAACCAATAACAGAAAAACGATATTCAGAGAGTGTGAATAACACTTCTCCCTTCATAAATTATGGTGACCCACACCAAAAAAAAAGCAATTAAAAAATTACTTTAAATAACCTCAGTATGTATTCATTATTATAGGAACCCCTTGGTTTATAACAGAAAGAAAAAGGCAACAAAGGGAACGATGAAGTTACCCCTTAATTCTTTCCGGATGAGTTTAAGATAGATCCACCGCCCACTCTTGCAGAAAGAAATATGCCACAGAGAGTGGTCGTCTTTCCTGTACGGTTTCCCACCCCCTCTTCCCTTGACGGAGAGAAAATATAGGAAGAGTAGCATGAATAGCATTTTGGTAATCACGGTGTGATAAACAACATCATTTGTAAATCCGAAGGAACAGAATACGCCGATGAAGAAAAAAAAAAAAACCGTGCAAATCCTGTGAAACGAAAAAAAAAAATGATATCTGCAGTACTACTACTACTACTACTACTACTACTACCCATATGACCATGATTACCCCATAGCATCAGATAAAATAAAAGAGAAAGAAGAAGAGAAAAATTACAGGAAAGTGTCAATTATTTTAACTTTGAATTTCACCATCAAGTCGGAATAGATACAAGTCTTTCCTTCTCTCTTTCACACACAGACACATATGCACACTCTTTCCCCGTGTGTGCATGTGTATGTGTGTATACGAAATATCAAAACTTGTTTTCATAGCTCCTTTTCAAAACGGCTCAAAAGAAAAAGAAACAGAATCAAATGCAGAGAAAAAAAAGAAGATAAAGAAAAAAGCAAATGGCAAGAATGCAATAGTAGAAGAACTCTAGAGGTAATTGCCATTCTGAAATTCATGGTTAGTACATAAGAACAAAAGAAAAAAAGCAATAGATAAAGCGAAATCACGAAAGCATTCTGAAATAAACGTACTTTCCCATTCTCTTTTTTCTAATCCCCTTAATCTTTCTCATACTTTTTTCCATTCCTTCTTTTTTTTTGTTTTCTTTCTTGTATATACAACTCCATATATATATATATATATATATATATAAGGATTTCCCACATTTTTTTTTTTTAAAAGACAACACTATTGATCATTGCACCAATGGACTGGTTAAGGTTAGCATTGATAAACCCTTCAGCCTCTGACTGTAGATGGGCGATGGGATTTGTTCGTCCAACATTACCCACATCATCCTCATCAAGACCCTGGACAATAAATCGTTCAGATTGTGTGGATAAAGAAGTAAGTAATCGAATCTTTTCTCGCACGGTTTGACGTTCAAATTTTTCCATATTTTCAATACGGAACCCTTCTTGCCAACCCTTCTTGTACACATTTAATAATAATGCCAATTCATGGTTCTTCTTCCGAAAAGTAATAGGAAGACTATAGTAGTCTCGATCGAGTCCCCGGGAGAGTGCGACTAGTTGTGGCCGTGCCAACCATCCAATGTTGCTTGTAGTCTGTCGCGGCTCCACAGTCATCATACGCCCTCCTGTAGCAGGATCTCTTGTGGTGCGGAAAGCATCAATCACAACTTTTCCACGTACTGATTGGATAGGATCAACGACCACGGATACGCTGCGTGGTGTTAGTTGTTCATAGCTGCTCGCTGTCATAATATCTTCACCGGAGAGCCAACAACCAAAACCCGGGTGACTGTGGTACCATCCAACAACTTTCTCTGAGCGACCCACCACAGAGAGTTTATCCAACATATGCACCTGATACTCTGGGTCAACAGCTTCTACAGATTGACCAGTGGCTGTTTGCGGCATGGAAAATACATCTGTTACACGAATAGTGTAATTATCAATCTGTTCACCAATCATGAGTCCCATTACCTCCAAAGGTACTCCTGCTCGACCATGAAGTAACATCTTCAAGAGAGCGAGGGATGATATTTGAACAGTCTCAGCTGTGTCACGCAAGTCTTCTGATGGAACGGCCATACCACCCGAAGCTCCTGCCTGGGCTCGTATCATATTAGCAACATTCTGCATTTTTCCTACGAAAAAAAAAGAATATATATATATATAGTTCCCTTCTGATTTTCTTTTTCCTAATTTGCTGTTTCACTAGAGAAAAAAAGAGAAAATAACAAGAAAGAAAAGGAATTATATAATAAGTAGGTAATGTGAGAAATATGATAGTTTGAGTTTAAAACGTTATATTTCTTTCATTCTTTTTTTTTTTTTGTATTTCAGAGCTATATATCAGGATTGCTCTATCAAAAAAAAAAAAAAAAAAAAAAAATGACCACCTCTAGATATCTAAGTCATCAGTATCATTACTACCACTCTCGTCGTAGTAGTAGCCCATCTTCATGCTCCTCTGCCCCTCTTTGGCTAACCTTGTTATAATCCTCACTATCATCACTATCATCATCATCATCATCATCATCAACCCCAATATCACTGTCATTGTCAATATCACTGTCTGAAAGAAGAAGTTCCTTTTTCTCATCAACTCGAGCGGTACATCTAAATAAAGAGTTTCTTGCAGCAAGGGTTTCTTTTTCAACTTCTTCAACAAAACCAAGCACCCCATCAATGATACGAAACAATGTTAATGCGGGTACATATTCTGATGTTCTTGTCTGAGAAATACCAAGATTTTCATCTCTAGTTAACTCATGATGCTGTGAATGTTGATGATCACTTGAATCTACTCTTAGCTGCTGATCACGTAGTGCACTAAGAAATTGCTGTAGATCACGACACGAGGTTGTTACTCGAGAAGAAGCACGTTCACTGATATCTTGCACTTCCTCTGCAAGGGATGTTAGAGCTTGACGAAGAATAGCAATAGTTTTCCCAGTATCAATATTGTTTCCATTTTCTCTTTCATTTCTAGAATCTATTTTATCATACTCATCTACTACTCCAATCTCTGCTCGAGCACGTTCAAGACGATGACGGTATTGATGTTGTTCTAATAAAGTAGCATGTTCAGTCTGCACATCCTTAAGGTGCTGTAAAGTACATCTTGCCAACTGATCGTAGAGATTAAATAATTCAAGACTATTCTTTCCTGTAACTCGTCTACGCACTTCACCCCGCAATGTCTGCAGTTGACGCCAGAGTGCTGATGCGGAAGAGGAAAGAAGACGTGGTGAATCACCAAATGAGAGATAATCATTTTCCCGTTCATTCTTTAAGCATCGATTATGTTTTTGTTTTTGTTTTTGTTGTTGTTGTTGTTCTTGAATCCGTCTTCGAGTCTCAGCTGCTACACGGTATTTCATTTTTTCATTCCAAATTTTATTAATATTGATGAAAAAAGGATAAAAACACTCATGACTTAAAGAGGAGAAGTATCGATTTTTAAACTTTTGCGCTTCTACAAAAATAGCATGCGGAATCCAAAAATCTTTTTCATGCTGACGTCCTTGCAACACATCACATGGTGATGGAATACGCAAATTATTTTCACCCCTACCACCTCGACTCGTTTCCTCTAATTCACCAATATGAATTTTTGATCGTCGCAGAAAATAGTTTTCATCATCAATAATTTCTTGAAGCTGTTTACACCACTGACCATTAAGGTACACATTACATGATTGTAATTGTGTGTTTCCACCATAAATACCATCATCTACACCTGTACCTAATACTCCAGGAAACAAGGAAATATGACGCCTCTTATGCATATCATCATCATTATTTATATTTTTGGCAGCTGATGGACTTCTCGTCGTTGATGATTTTGAGGCTATTGTTGCCGCAGAGTATCCAATAAAAATCATTTCCCCATCTATATCATTAACTCGCAGAAAACGTCGCATCTCTGGAACCTCACTAAGAAGTCGTAATAATCGCGCCATACTTAGACGTGTCGCTACTACCTCAGCCTCTAGTTCACGTTTATTATCTATATTATTACGCATCACCTTCATGGCTTCTGCAACACGTGATTCCATTCCATCTTGTATCGCCTCTAATTTACAACGAAGCGCATGATTTTCTTCTGCCAATGCCTCACGATCTTTCCTGGTGACATTATGACTACGCTCAAGTGCATTAACTTCATCTTGCATGGCACGCAGTGTCGCAGCATAGCGTTCGTGATGTTCTCTTTCTTTCTCTCGTTTATCCTTGACATGATTATCTTGACCAATACCAATAGGAATTTTGGAACTCTTTTGACGTTGTTGTTGTTGTTGTTGTTGTTGTTTTTGTTGTCGTCCACTCCTTCCTACTGACAGTGTTGCAACAGTTTCTGCCACTTCTGGTCGATAAGATAGGTTTTTAGTACTTTGTAGTTTAACCTCTCTTTCTTTCTCCATTTCCAATCGTTGTATACGAATATCTTTTTTACAGATGATATCATTAAGTTCTTCGATCTTAGCACGTGCCTCCTCTAGAGCCACTGTTCGCTCCTTTAGGATACGCTCTCGCAACTCATCTGTCTGACTCTTTGCTGCACTGGCAAGATCTAATTGGGATCGCAGACGTGATATTTCAGCACGAAGATTTTCAATTATACTGTCCCGCTCCTTGCGACCTCTCTCAGCACACCAAAGTGTCTCATCAAGAGTTGTAATTTTTTCATCAAATTGTTTCTCCTTTTCCCGTAATCTCTCTAGGAGTGAATCATTTTCAGAGATACAACTAGTATTTGTCGTCTTCTCACTCCAAACAGTATGTGAGACTGCTCTTCCAGTGGGGGCTAATGTTTTCGGGTCATCAGCATAGTTATTTTCAGTTTCAGTTTCAGTATCATGTTCATGATGATAATCATCATCATTATCATCATCATCATCATCATCAATGCACTGGAGCTTCCGACTTGTAGTTAACCGCTGTGATCCTGATTGCTGCTGATTTTTCCTTTGCTTTTGCAGAGAGGTTTTACCACTTGATCGTGTTTTCGCTATTTTTTCTTTTACATTATCCTCAGACATTACATGGGGTCTTGAAGGGGATACACGTCGGGTTAGTTCTGGTGAAGAAATGACATCAGCAAGTTCTCTTCTTATGTTACCAGGCACAGAGGACGCTCTCAGTCCCACTTTCGCTGTCGTTTCAACTTTTGTTGTTGATTCTCTCTCCGCCATAAGAGAGAAACTTTTCTAGTGATGCACCAGAGCTATGTAAAGATAAATCTAAAAAAAAAAAAAAAAAATGTGTGGATTAAAGAACTTCAACTTTATTATCCCCCCTTATTTCTTCTAAATTCCTGAAATTAAAATTCATACAAAAGCCAAGAAAATAACAATAACACCAAGCAGAAGAGTAAATTTGAAACATTCTCTTATATATTCACACAAAGTCCAAAATACAAACAACATAAGAAAAATAAAAAGAGCACAGATACAGCTACAAGTTTTGCCGCCTAAATATATATATATATATATTTGTATCCACACCTTAGTGATGGAAAAAAGAGGTAGAGTTGGAAGAAGTATGCCCCGTAAACGAGGGAGCAGACCGAAGCACAGAGACATCAAAATCTAAAAATAAAATAGAAACAACAGCTACATTCATTCACTACCATAAAATAAGACAACACAATCATTACTTCGTTTCAGGTGTTTCTACAGCTGTTCCAGAATTAGCCACTGTTTCTTCACTCTCTTTCTGCTGCTTAGCGTGTCCAACACACGGACGATGTAGGGAGGGGAACTCCATCGCAGCTGAGGGCCGTCGTCTGGCAGTTATTTCAGAATTTACATTCCCCAAACCTGGCGTTTTATTGATAGTTACAGCATCTTCTTTACCCACAGAGGGTACAGAAGCAGGTACAGAAGTAGGAACAGAAGCGCGAGCAGAAGTAGAAGTAGAAACAGCAGGTGCACCTCTTATAGAGGTTGAAGTAGTTGTAGATTGAGCTTTTGGTGGTACTTCCTCTGAAACTTGGGAAGATTTGGGTCTCCTCAAGGAAGAGCGACTTGAACCAGTGGATAGAGACACATTGCCACTAGATGGAACACTATTAGTTGGATGTACAGAACGTGACGAGCTAATTATAGTAGGCTTCAGAGAAGGATCTGTTTCTTTAACAGAGGTTGTGGTTTTCCCAGTTCCATCTGTAGAAACGATTTGATTCCCACTATTCGTAACAGTTTTTTGAAGATTTTCCTCTTTTTCATTTGAAGCAGTTTCTTTTGGTGACTCTTCCTCCTTCGGCATATTGATTTTCCGAGGAGTAAACATACGTAGACGTGGTTCATTATCAATATCATCACCACTAACAGACGTAGTACCTTTAGAAATATTTTGAAATCTAGTTCTATTTTTAGTGACATCAGAAGCAGAGCGTACTGTTGAAGCCTTCATAGATAGATCAACAACGTTGGTTTTAGTACGACTACTTTCGTTGCTGTTACCACTATTTTTATTAGTGATGTTGATGTCCACAGAATTACTTACATCCTTTTTCATTCTATTGGAAGGACTCTCCTGCTGCCTCTGGTTTTCTTTTTTTCTCTCTTGAGAAGAATGATCTTCTTCAATCATCTTATCCTTGGCTAACGAGCGAGGTGTAGCTTCGATTTCTATCTTTTTTTTATTCACAGAGTCAATCAATTCCACTACATCTCCAATTTCTTCACGAGAATTCAACTGAATTGACGATGCAGGAAGCTCCAACTTTTGTTGATGCTGCGCCTGAGGCAATACATTCATAGTTGTTTCCTTTTCATTCACTAAAGTTACCGAGTCTGACTTTCTAAAATTCTCACCAACTGAAGAAGTTGAAGATTTTGAGAGGTCCCGCAATAGTAAAGCGGGTGGAGTCACTCTGGAAAAGATATGTTTATTCTCAGATTTCTCTGCCGGAACATCACGAGTTGACACGCTGTGAACTAAAGAGGGAGACTTGTACTTTGACTCTTTACCTTCTTCAGACTCTGAAACGGTAGGCCCCTCTGACAACGATTGCCCCTTTAGAGGAGAGATAAACTTTTTTTTTTCACTCTCTTGACGCAGTATTGACTTATGGGAAGTTTCCTCATCAGGAACATCAACCGCAGTGGGAATAGACACAGAAGGAGTAGGCGAAGGAGACGGAGGAGCAGGTAGAGGAGAGAGTTGTGGAGCAATATGACGAAGTGGAGGATTCACGAGGTCCATTCCTTCTTTTTTACGCCTTCTACTGCTTTGGAGTTCATAATTATGATGATCAGTAGAAGCCATGTTTGCGGTATCGATTTCTTCCTGCAAGAAAAGCGTACGTGATGGAGAAACAGAGGTTGGTGGTAACAATGGAGATTTCTTGGCAGTGTGCAACTGCAATTCTCTCATATCATCAACTTCTTTTTTTACTTCCTTCGTCTTCTTCTCAACTGATACTTGACGCATTACAGGCCACTCCGCCAAGGCAGATTGGTGGAGATTACCGTTCTGCTGGTGCCGCTGTTGTTCTCCTTCTACTTTTTCTTTTTTTTCTCTTTCTTTTACTGCAGTAACAGAGTTCTCACGTGCCATGGCAAATTCTACCGCCCGCAAGACGAAATCTTTTCTTGCCTTTGTAGCTGCAGAGAGAGAGATTCGTTCCACGTCTTTCTCTTCTTTTTCTTGGTTTTGTTGTTGTTGTTGTTGTTGTTGTTGTAAACCAACAAAGTTCATTTGTTGTAATACCGAAAGAAAGCGCACTACAGTATCCCAATCTCGTAATACGTTATTAACAAAGGGTTCAACCCCTATCTTTACCTCTCTATGACTAGAATCAAGTGTTGATACTAATCGCAACACTTCTTCTGCCTTATTCTTTGTACTACGCAATAAATCAGAGACCATAACTGAGTCATCATGTATATCCTTTAATTGTTGCATCCAACGTCGTTCAGACAATTTCCTTGCTACTCGCTCACGACGTAGCATCTCAGTTTCCACCTCTAAAGTTTTTACCTCTTCTTCATAGGCATGACACTTTTCTCGTAGTTCATCTCCTTCACGACGTGCATTTGATAAACGTAACTCTGCGTGTCGATCACTTTCAGCATGTTGAAAGAGGAGTCCTTCTGCATGAGATGCCAATCGAGCGAGTTCACGTCGAGCAGAAAAAGGCCAATTTGAAACATCTTCTGCTGATGGTATAGGAAGAGATGATGATAACAATAATGATGATGGTGACAATTGAGAAACATCATCATCTGGCATGAGACATTCCTGAATTTCACGCAATCGTTGAGCTGCTGCCGCTCGTTCTGCATCTGACAAACGTTTATCAAGAAGTTGAATGTGTGATTGGGCTGCTTCAAGTTCTTCTGAGATGCGTCTCGCATGTTCCTCCGCTTCGCGCTGTCGCATATGAGAAATGCCTAGTTCTTGTATCAATTCCTCTAAATCACCATACACTTGTGTAGGTGCCATTGTATTATCCTGCTCTTTTCGCACATTTTCTGAGCGCATAATGTGATTTTCTACTATACCACGTAATCTTCGAAGCTCATCTTCACATATAAGTAACTCACGTTCTTTTGCATGTAATGCGGCACGCCAACCAGCAGCACCACATGCCGTTTCACTTTGTGATTCAGCAATTTGTTTTAACCTCCCAATTTCTGAATTTGCATTCCCAAGTAATTCATCCAATCGTTCTACACGATATTGTAACTGTGTCCGCTCACGCATAGATTTGACAAGGTGACGGGCAAGACTTTCTGTTTTATACGTCAATTCCCTAAGTACTCCATCTTGAGCTTCTAGCTCTTTATGTAGGGTTTGATTCTCTTTTAATAACTCTTGAACTTCACCAGTTCCAGTAGAAAGCACATCATCTGCTATAACATCAACTGCACCTGATGCTGGAGCAATTTGTTTTGGTTGTTGCTGCTTGTTCTGGTTTTGAACCATAGTACCGCTTAAATGACCCAAGGTTCCTTCTGCATTCCCTACTGTGGAAGCTGTAGCATCTGGGGTATCCTTCTTATAAGAAGAAGAAGGAACAGGAGGAGGAGGAGGAGGAGAAGAAGAAGAAGAAGAAGATGCCATAGTTGTACGACTCTCCTTCACTTCTTCCGTATCGTGCATGTGCACCGTCGCTAGGATAGTCTTGAGCAGCTGTTCATCCTCGTAGCGATCAAAGTTTTCCGGTGAGTTACTCGGGGCGACTCTCCTGCTGGCGAGTTGGCGGGTCGAGGCGCTCCAGACCGGTGGGCGGGGCGGGAGGTCCTCCTCCACGGCGTACGGGTGTCGTGGGCTGGCGAGAAACGCCTCCACGATCGATCGCTCCTCCGCCAAGGCCACTTCCTCAAAGAGCGGCGGCGGCGGTGGAGATGGAAGCCCATGATAATAACGGCCAGTCTCTATTTCTCTTCTTGTTGTTCCTGTTGCTGTTGCTGTGGAGGTGGTGGTTGGAATGACGGGGGGCGGGGGCGGGGGCGGTGGGCGTCGCAGACTTCCCCGATCCCCCACCGTCTCCACATCGGAGATGGTCTCCGGCACCGAGGCGGCGGTCGTACGTGGTGGAAACGGCCACACCGGCAGTGGGAGCTGCGACGGCATAAAGACAGCACCGTTGCGGCTTGCACTCCGCCTAATGCTGCGAGCCACTGCGGCAGCATCATCATATACTGAAAATCCCTCCAATGAACGAGGGGTTGACACAATACCCGTTTCTACACGCCTGCTTCCAGCAGAATCAGAAACAGGATAATGGAAATTTAAAACATCATGATCTTCTTCATTATCTAATACTGCCTCACAGAGGCGTCTAAGTGCCATTTGTCGCTCTTCTAATAACTGTAGACGAACTTGTCGTTCACTATTTTCATCATCACTACGAAATGCTTCATCCATCTGTTGCAGCATTCGTTCTAGCGTTTTTGCATCACGTTCTACCACCCTTGTGTTGGTGGTGGTTATTGGTGGGGATGGTGGTGGAAGTCCAGTGCCAACGCGCTTCGGCGAGGGTGAACCCCTACCACTACCACTACTCGAGTATCGATACACCATCTATCGATCGTTTCTAACTCTACGCTCTTTTCCATAAAAAATAAAATAAAAATCATAGACGTGTAACATGAACAATTGACAAAAAACAAATAATCAACAACACGAGAACGAAGTATAACATAAAAATGAATACTCATGAAGAATAACTGATTTAAAGTGAAACAAATAAATAATAATGATAATAGCAACAAAATAATATTTGGAACATCGTTCCACAACACCACATAATAAGCAAACTTCAACCCCGTTATATCAGACAATAAAGGGAAATTAGAAAACCTGACAAGAAATAAACCTTATTAATACAAGATTGATTTATCTACATTACACTCTCTTTTTTTTTCTTTTTCTATTATTTCTGGTAGAGAGGGAGGAAGAGAAAAAAAAGAGAGAGAGAGACATGCACACCTTTTCTAACCATATATCAGATGACTCTTTGCACTTTTTCTTATTTTATTCTGAAGTATTATCACAGAAGTGACAGAGGTCATTTTTCACGCGTCATTCACCAGAATCAACACTCACTTTTGCGTAGCAACATACATCAATGTATAGGAGTAATGTGTCGAATTGTTGATTCACGTTTTTTTATATTTTTCACGTTTATCTTTCTAGAGTAAGACTCTGGAACTGATTTATGCTCTAACTGATTTGGTTTCCCTCTACCTTTGTTCTCATCAAAACAGCAATTACTACTATTACTAGCACTAAAGCTTCCGTCCACCTTCGTGGCGTTGGTATCGTTTTCGCCAATATTCCCTGACTCTATCCTAGAGTCATGACCCTCCTCCCCTTTCTTCTTCTTAACTCCAACACCAACATTACTACAAATACGTAGAGTTCTCTGTTGATCCTTCTGTGCCTTTTCACTAAAACCATACACTGTGAGTTCCCGAACCTCTGCAGGGCACTGGGTGAGCATCTGGCGCCAAAGTGTCTTTAGTTCCGCATCGGCCTCACGCCAACCGTCACTGCGACGACCGACAACTGCTGTGAGTTTATCTATTTCTTGCTCCATGGTTTCTGTTGCCGTGTCTATTGCATGTAGACGGGCAAGACGTTGGGCCGTACTGTAATCCATACAAACCAAAGTATATTTGGGAGAAAAAATAACAAAAAAAAAAAAAAATACACAATCTACATCACTACAAAGAATAATAAAAGAAAATAGAGAAGTATGTTGAGAGGGAGGGGGAAAAAAGGCAATGATAACATAAAATAAGGACATAAAGATGTTAAAAGAAAAGAAAAAATAAATAATTCCATTCTTTCGTACACAACCACTTGAGACACACATTTTAACCAAATTTGCACATATTTAGTCTCATCTATACATCAGTGTATTATTATAATTTTATTACAAATTCATTCGTGATTTCTTACATCTGTGCATCATCATGGTGATGCTCAATATATAAATATAAATATAGTTTTTTTTTTTTTCTTTTACCCGTCCACCCGCATATGTCGCGGTGTGGCTATACAAGCCAGTTAAAACAGTGTTTACAACAATAAAAAATACAATATGATAAAAGTAAAACAAGTTTCCAAAGATTTTAAAAAATAGCAACTCTCCCATTTCATCCAGATATCATCCTAGGAGCAGATACAACATACCATCTCCTTTTATCTTATGGATTCTCATTAACATTAACGTGAAAAGGATGAGAGCTGCACACATCATATATATATATATATATAAATACGAATAATACATTCTTATTTCTTTTTTTTTTTTAGAAAAAAAAAGAAAATAAAAAAGAGGAATAAAACACACACAAAGAAATAAACTTTCAATAAGAAGAAAGCGCGTTATGTTAATCCCTCAAAATATGAAAAAACAAACAAACAAAGGAGCAAACAATATAAATCATTGTTTAGCATCAAATTATCTTTTCTTCTCCGTCACAACACGTCGAACAAATTGTAAACCCCTTGTCTCGCCGGTGAAATATACTGGTGAATGCATTCCACTGCACCTGACACCAGAAGGAGAGAGTACAGAAGGCTCCTTGTTTGGATGTAGATTCTCGAGATGATTACGGGGGTTCCCTTCATCATTTTCCCACATCATCTCTTCCATCACAGAGAGTGGTGTTGCAGGACAACAAGGGTACACCTGCACTTTATTTGTTCTTTGCTCCTCATTCTTACGGCATAAACCTACCCTGTTACTCCTCTCTGTTGTAAACATTGCTGGTTCATCCTTCTTAAGATTGATTTCATTCAAGGGTCCTCCTCGTTGCTTGGCTTCCCAACCCTTCCGTTCGCCTCGTGAAACAACACGAGGAGAACCTATAATGCCTCTCCGTCGCTCTCTTTCTGTACTTTTTGAAATTATTGCTTCCATACACATAAGATCAGACGTAACCTGCTGATCTCCCTCATTTTTAAAGAAATGAGGAGTTCCTTGTGTGCCCTGGGATATTGGCTTATTGAGAGGATAGAACTCAGCTGTACTCAATGTATCCTGTGAACCGCGATAACAAGATGATGATGATTCTACTTGTGAAGAAACACAACTTAAGGGTTCAGGTGTTTTTATTGATGACAAGGTATCCAATTTCGTTTCTGACTGAGGTTGAAAGGTCGTCATGCATTCATCCTTGACACTACGAAATGAATTACTCCCATGCTTATTGGAGGAGTGCATCGTATGTAAAGAAGATACAAAAGCACCATTTTCTCTAGCTTCTCCAAAGACAAATGGCTGGAGTTGCGTAGGAGGTAGAAAAGAAGAAGGAGGACCAGCACGTGAAACCACACGTCTAGAGACAAAACTGTTTGGATATCTTGGACCCATTGATTCTGTCGTTGGGGTTTTGTTTGTTGCTGCTGCTGCTGTAGGTGTACTTATTGTCCCATCAGCACTCTCCTCCAGAAGATCTTCTGAGATAGTCCCGTTACTTTGAGATAAACGGCTTCCCCGTTTGCGAGCAAAAGGCAATGGCATTCCACTACTACTTCTGACAGGAGATATATCTCCATCTGTAACCACATGTACAAGTGATTGACGTTGACGACGCTGAACTTGATCTGCGGACGGACTACTGGTCACGGAAGGAAAAGATACCATGGTGGCTTCCGCAAGTGGTGACCGGTGGAGCAGCTGGCGCGGAGACATAGGTGTCAATCCACCTTCTGGAATCACCATTGCCCTAAGTAGTGGAGTAAAGGAGGTATATATATATATATATATATATATATATATATATATATATCTTCTTTTTCTCTGTAAATTAGGCTTTATCTCTTTTTTTTTTTAAGAAGGGGAACAGAAAGAGAGTACATAAATAAAAAAAAAGAAATAAACAACATTAAACACAAGATACACCATATATGAGATATTTTAACATACCATTACAACTACAAACTTACAGTACATTGTTACAACTTTATCATGTCGTCTTTCCCGTTCTTTTTTTTTTTTTTTTCATGCCCATATTCTATGATGTGTTCAAGACCCAAGTAAAGGATCACCCAAACAGACATATATAGAGGATCTTTATTCTTCCCTCTAACACACACACACACACACACTCTCTCTCTCTCTCTCTCTCTCTTTCACTCTCTTTGGCTTAGAAGGACTCTTCACTACTCCCCCTACGACCAAAGAGAATACCATTGCTGCTGCTACTGTCATCTTCTGAGTATAGTGTGTCTAAACCGCCCCCTGCAAATTGTTGCTGATGAGCCGAAGACATATAGGCTCCTAACGACGGTACACCGAGTATGTCATTGTTATTAGATTCCTCTTTTTCAGCCTTCTCACGCTGCAATAGGACGTTATGCTGTGACTTTGCGGCCCACGTGATACCACGACGGGAAGAATCTTCCTCTTGTACAATAATACTACGTGCTTGCGCTTCTTCAGAATGTAACGATTCCTGTTGCGCGATAAGAGACGCAGCAGCGGCGGCGGCAGCAGCAGTAGTAGTATCTTCTGTTACTGTTTCTGCTGTTGATGTTGCAGTTGTTGTCACTGTATTCTTTCCCCCTTCACTTCGTAATGAAGAGGTAGATGATTGCGCTGTAGGCGAGGATGATGATTTTACTGACGCCTTTGATGATGATGATGATGATGATGATGATGATGATGTTGTTGTTGCTACAGATCGAACGGGTGTTTTGTCATTCTCTCTGGTCACATTTTTTTCTTTTGATTCGGCCCCTGATAAGTCAGAGGAAGGGGATTTGTCTTTTTTTGAAGTCTCTTGACTATCAATCTTCATATGATCACTAATACTGCTCTTCCTACTACTATTTTCACTCTTTGATTCTTTTTCCCCTTCTAGTTTAACATTTGTCTCTATTTCATTTTCCACAGCAGATGGAATTTTTCCAGCAGTATCAAAAGAGTTACTTACCTGAGGTAAAGACTCTGTAACATCGATGACCATCTGAGGAGTGGGGTTTAAGGAAGGTGAAATATTCTCGGGTACGACATCATCCTTTTTTTCTTTTTCTACTACTCTCATTTGGGGACCACCTGGCATTGCAGATGGAGTCTCTTCTCTATATGTAGTCTCCCTTGGAGGTCTCAGTCTACTCTCATCCGTTGATTGCATTGGGACTGTAGAATACCAAGCTGAGTTCCACATGGCTTCTCGGTCTTGTTGATCTGTATGGGGTGCGAGTTGGGTAGCTCCCGCGACACGTTTTTGTATCTCCATTGCCCTTTCAAGTGCCTCACTCAGTGTGTCCTTGTCACCTGCGCTATGTGCGGCTACGAGTGTCTTGAGCCGCAGACGAAGACGACCAATCTCTTCATCCTTAAGCAGCAACTCTGCGGCGTGTTCGGCCTGCAGACGTCTAAGGTCCTCCACGCGGCGCCACTCCCGCCCACGCGCGGCTTCACCCTCTGCGAGCCGAACGGCGCTGAGTTCCTCCGCCCGCTGGAGCCGCGCTGCGAGTCCCCGCGCCTCCTCCCGCGCCGTCCGCTCTCGTCGCCCCGCCGCCTCTGCGGCTGCGAGGGCCTCGTCGAGTTCCCGGCGGAGTCCCGCCGCTGCCGCTGCGGCCGTCGCCCCCGCCGCTTCCACCGCCGCCCGCGCCTCCGCCAGTCGCCGCCGCTCTGCCGCTGCCGCCTCCACCGCCGCTGAGGCCGTCGCCCGCGCCTCCACCAACTTGTGCTCCAGCAACACCGCGTAGTGCTCCTCCGCCTCCCGCCGGGCTGCGGTCAGTTGCTCCCGCTCAAACACACGCACACGCTGTTGGTACTCCGCTTCCATCTGCAGACGCAACTCCTCGCGATGGGCGGCAAGACGGCGGTCCATCTCTTCGCGTGTGGATTGCCCAAGGCGTGCAAAGCAAAGTGCATACTTCGCATCTACGGCAGCAAGACGTTGCTCAAGCGGTATAGGTGAGGAGGAGGCAGAAGGATCAAGAGCATCATCTGTCTGGGTCCCAACAGTGTACGCCGCTGAGCGTCCCTCTAGATCCCCCACATGTCTCAGATGTGACTCCACAACATTCTGTAAAAGACTTGAACCACGTCGTGAACCCAAAGGTGAAGAAAAATTGTTTATATGAAGTAGTCCTGCTAATGCATCATCACCAGCAGTACCAAAAGAGACATCTGCTTCTGTGCTAAAAATAGCGAGAGAGAATGAGCGACCTGTGTGACGTAGATGATTCTCCACAAGTGCATCAACAAGTCGCTCTGTCCATGCATCATTTTCTCGATTATCAGTTTCATCATTTCTTTCTTCATTTGGTGCTGTTGAGCCTGATACCCTAGGTGATGGTCCCTGACGTTTTAATAATTCAGACACAATTACGCTGCGAAGTTGTGTCTTTAGTGAACCTAATGCTCCACTTGAGCGAAGAAACTGTTGCATACCAGCACGTAATTCTGAGACGGAAAGAGCATCAACAGTTGCAGAGTTTAAAGCTTTAGAAGCCGTAGGGGTAGATAGATGTTTTAATGACATTGTCCCACCCTCTGCTGTATCTTGAGATGCTGACGATAAAGGAAACATAATCCCTAGCACCTTTTTCATTATATAAAAGAGAAACAAATAAAAGAAAAAAAAAACAAAATCAAACTGCAGACTCACAGATACCATGCCAAGGAATCATAATAAGAAACAGTAAACAATAAAACACGTTTTTTCCCCACCCCTTTTTTTTTTAATCAGAGTTCATGTTATTGCAAATATTTCTGTTATTTATTCAACTTATAACGACCACAAACGTTGAAGTTCATGGGAGAAAAACGGTGATGACCACAACAACATTGCCGCAGTAATCACCCTTTCTTTCTGCGACAATTCTTGCGGTAGCAACTCAATACTTTCCAGTAAACTTTGAAGACTCAATAATTGTTGTTGAAGTAACAAATTAGCAGATGAAGTATTTCCATATTCTTCAGTTACATGCATCTTTTCAATCAGTCGTCGTCGTGCCACACGAATTACTTCTCGAGAAAGCGGAACAGCATCAAATGTGAAGCTATTTTGCAGTGAAATAATCGATGTATTTACTGTTTCTCTTACTGTTGCTCCCTGCATAGTCCATCTGGCACTTTTTGACTGCGTCCATTCCACAATTCGACGAATCCACCCCTCACACCCAAACTCTCTCTGTTCCTCGTTTTCAGTCATTTCCAATCCCACCGTTTGATCCGGCAGGGAAGTGAGTTCCACCGGTAGCAGACACTGTGCTAGTGTGAGAACTACGTCATGTGAGTTTACAACCGTGTGAAAAGATGGTGCACCTCGCTGTTGCAGTTGTGCGCTATCTACATCACGCTGCTGTCGATTACCCCCAACCCGTCGTGTTGCGGCAACTGCAATAGCACCCTCAAATTCACAAGAAGACGTAACAGCGTCCCCAATACTGTTTACCAATAATACTGTAAAAAAGCGATATGCCTTTACCCTCACAGTATTACTGCTACCATCTCCACCACGCACCCCCTGCGGGCTTCCCTGCAGTATGAGACCAAACTGATGTGCAACTGCAGCAAAAACAGAGTAATATGTGTGTGGTGGGATATCCTCGCCAGTGGCACGTCGTCGAAGTTGTGTATCTATCACTTCTGGAATCCACTCAAGAGGGTAGAATTGATAGTGAATCTTATCCACAAGTACCTTGAACTCCGGTGTAAATTCAATCACAGACTCTTCTGTCATATTTTCGTGCTCCGAACGGTTTCTCTTCGTTCGTATCATCACAGCAGATCGGCGCAGTGTACGTCCCTGAAGCAGCGGAAGCAACAATTTCTCAATTAATGGCGCCAACTGTCGTATCAGTTGTTGTACAAGACTGACGGTCTGCAATTGTGTGTAGACAATAATAGATGCCAACAATACTTCACAGCGGTACCGCATTAGTAAACGGTGTTTTTCTTCTTCAGATAGACGTACTGTGCGAAGCAAATTATTTTCTTGACTGGCATGCCGTTGCTGCTGTTGGTGGTGGTGACTATGATGATCATTATCATCATCTTCTCCTTCTTCCATTGTATTATTATCTAGATGTGTTCCAAGAGCTTGCAGCTGCACAATCATTGGTAGGATATCTATACTACGTTGCAGAACACGTTCTGTTTCTGCGGATGTAGTTCCATTGATTCCAGAACGTTTAAAAAATTCTAACATAACCTCTCCTGCTGCTCGATAATATGCAGGCATTACAAATTGAGGAGGTTTCCCTTTATTATCTTCATGATCACCGTCACCATTCCTAGTTCTTCTTTCACCATCATCATCATCATCAGTAGGAAAGACAGCGTCAAGCAGTCTATCACAACTTTGAGGAAGAATACATCTAAGGCGAGCAGCATACGTTCGATGGCTGAGTGCAAAGAAAATTTCTTCAAATACAGCATTACTGTTTATCCGTACACCATCTTGTATTGAGATAGTCTTTTGCTGTACTTTGTCAAGCTGTCGAGCTTGACGCAGAGATTCAGACCATGGCCACTCAAACCCCATCTGTTGCAAGAACGCTGGAAAAAAAACCCGAAGAACGGCATCCACTTCTTGCAACGTTAACGCTCGAGTTGTAATAGGGTTACAAACAGAATTTTCTTCAATTATTTTTTTCTTTCCTTCCACGTTTGACGCATCTCCTGTACTACTAGGAGGACGTTGATGAGGTGTTGTTGTTGTTGTTCCTGTCCCACCGCCTGTCACCATAGAACAGATAAGTTCTTGTATACAACTAACTACAATAGTGGCAAGAAGAGAACTTGATAAAATAATATTATCCTTTTTCATAGCTTCATCTTGTAGTTCCACAAGGTTATGAAGAAGAAGTGCTGCTGCAGTCAATGGACAGCGTCCTGTACCATCTTCACGTGAGCAGCGGTAGGCAATAGCATATTCAATAACACCAATGACAACACCACAAGCACGTGCTGATATTGCCACTTCAGAGGAGATTGAGTCACCACTGCTATTACCATTTATATACGCCAACAACAAACGGGCAGAAGCTGTTTTTACACGTCCAAAAATCTCTATAGTGAGTGCACTAAAAAGGCGTGCTCGATACACCTCTAGAATAACCTCATCATCATTGACTCCAGTTATAAGAGACACTACATCAAACAAGAGGGGAAATCGTTCCGTTACAGTATCTGATGATAACATCTCTCGCAGAGCATTCTTCAAAACTTCCAATTCCGTCTCTTGAATTTCACTCATTTCGACATTTTCCCCACCATGTTTTCGTCTTTGATGTTGTTGCTGTTGCTGTTGTTGTCTTTTCCTTCGTACAGCCTCCAGAGATTTCCGCAGTAGATTATCAAGATGAAGAGATGATGGAGATGGAGATGTAGAGGATTCCATATTCGGTTCTATTACAGAAAGATAATCCTTAACTGCCAGAGCTCGCAATAGTCGTCCAAACCAACACTCCGATACGCGAGGAAGTAGTGGATAAGAGAAATTATCATCATTATCTTCTAATGCCTTACTTGCCTGTACCTTTATTTCTTCTACTATTTCTGCAGGGCAGAGTCGCCATTGCGTTTCATACATCGCAATATCATCAGCAGTGGGAAATTCCACAGACTTCAATACATCTTCAAATGAAAATGTTGTAGAATTACATTTCTCTTTATTCTTATCTTCGGAAGTTATTTGTATCATTCTCATCTGCGATAAAAATGGACGTGGCCATACCGTAAGATAAAAATACCAAAGCCATTGAGTTGATGTAGAGAAGGTAACGAGGCTACTCTTTGCTACTGTACCGTATCCGGGTAACAACAAAGAAAGTGGAGGTGGTTCCTTAACGGTCATACTATTATTTATAAACACAGCACAACACAACAACCACTATTTTTCTCTTTTATCCCCCCTTTTTTTTTTTCTTAATCAACGTTTACGTAATTATATATAGAAGTTCACTAATGCCAGGATTAATCCTTTGATACGGCAATTCTACTTCTTCCCACCTCCCTCTCTCTCTCTCTCTCTCTCTCTCCTTCTCTATCAGCATACATTACACACAGAGAAAAAAAAAGTATAGAATGGAAGAAAAGAAACAAGTTAAAGAAACTGCACGATAGCAAGAAAAACAACATATTCAACGACGCTGGTAATAATACTCTTAGTAGCGAGAAGAAAAAACAAACAAACAAAAAAGAGAAGTTTTATTATATCCCTTCTACTACATTATGCCAAACACTTGGATTTCATTCACTGTTCCTCAATGCCTATATACAAGCGTAGGTACTCTATCTAAAAAATAAGGATGCATTGTTCTTCTTCAGTTAGAATAACAAATGCAATAACTGAGGAGTGGCCACAGTAGAAAAGAAAACTGAAAAAAAGGAACCACAAATAAAGCCGTAAAAAAAAAAAGAAAAAAAAGTTATTCCACATAAGTGTATACATACAAATATGAATGCCTATGATTTCTTTCCTTTTACTCTGTGCATGTGTGCTCAAACGCATGTATGTCAATGTTGCTGCTCATAAAATCAAATGATCTGAGGTAACAGAATTTGGTAAACGAAAAAAATTTTTTTTTTTTTTTTTTACTTCACATTGCCTCGCTGAGCATTGCTATTCTTTCACATTCACATTACTTATTCTTTTCAATTCAAGAAACACATTAAAAAAAAAAACAGACATACACCCACATTACAGAGAAGCAAACAAATATAGATTCATATTATAATACGCAAATACATTCCTCTAATAAGACTACTTACCAATACTACTATTACTACTACTGATAATGTTGCTATCACCGTCTTAAAACACATAATCATAAGAGCAAAAATATAAATAATACGTGTACCTACAATGGGACACAATTACATGATCACTTTTCTTCTTCTTCTCTTTTTTACTCTTTAAGTTTTTGTTTTTCTTCAGACATCAATCAATATAGCACATTCCCCACCCTTTTTTTATTTTCTCCTCACATAATTTTCCTGCTACAAGAAGGGCAAAAGACAAAAAAAAAAAAAAAAATGCTATCAGGAAAAAAAGAGCCAGAATAGAAACAGCATAACACATTGAAGTAACAAAAAAAAAAAAGGCTCAAAAAACTCAAGAAGACATACATACACAAAACTAAAAAAAAACTAAAAAAACAAAAAACATCTCCCAGACACAGAGTAGCAAGACAAAAAAAAAAAAAAAAAAAAAAAAAAAAAAACAGATAAAATTACCCCAAAGATTAAAACGCTTTCATGATATGATGATGATGATGTTGTTGTTTTTGCAGTTATTGCAACAACAACACCCCCGTACACATTAATGCACTATATATATATATATATATATATATATATTTTTTTTTTTTGTTTCTATTCTATTTCTTTCCTTTTACCAAATGTTCCAATTTCTTCTCCATTTCCGACATTTGCCTCTTTATATCTTCAATCTTCTTATTACGCTCATCCACGGCGTTCTTGAGATTATCAGTGTGCTCATCGCGCAATTTCGAAATGAGTTTTTTCATCAAATCCCTCTGTCGTTCATGAGCGTATCGTTCCTCTGGTGAACGGAGTTTCTCATCAAACTCGGCCTCAAGCCAGCGATCATCATCATCAAGGTTCACCTTTCGCTTTGCAGATCCGGGTTCCTCGTGATGGACACAGCGTCGCGGGAATGTGAGAGCGACAGCCGCCATCAGGCTTGTAACTGCGAAACGCTTCATCATTGTTGTTGTAGTTGTAGTTGTTCTTGACTGAAAGTAATGATATAATGTAAATGGAGTAACTTTCGTTCCGTGTGGGTGTAAAGCTTTGTGAGTATAGAGGCTTTGATCTATACGTGAAAGGGAATACCAAAAAAGAAACAGAGGAAACCAAAAAAAAAAAAAAAGAAACAATACTTTTGTGTTGGAAACGCAAGAATAGAAGCTGAAACCCGACAAAAAAGAAAAGAAAAGAAAACCCATATACACATATTATTTTTTTCTTTTTCTTTTTTCTTGTTCTTACGTAAACCTCAAGATATTCACCATTCTGGTGACCATGGTTCATTCACTCCAATCTCTCTTTTTTTTTCTTTTCCTTCTTTCTTTCCTTCCTTCTTTCCATCCATTTTTTTGTTTTCTTTAAAAAAGAAAACCCCCTCTCACTGTCTGTACAGGTCTCACCTTTACAGTGTGGTGGCACCCATTGCGGCAGCAATAACGGACTGATCAAGTGTAACTGGACCCACGGTGCGTCGTGCCATGCGTTCCTTTCCCTTTTTCTGATCATTCCACTTCTTCTGTTTGCGTGAAATATCGCCTGCGTGGATCTTCGCCGTGACGTCCTTGCGGTATGCCTTCACTGTCTCTCTGGCTACAATCTTCGCGCCAATCATCGCCTGCAGCGGGACATCCACCGCACTACGCGTGAGATTTGATTTGAGACTCGAGACAATACGACGACCGACAGCCGGCGCCTCATGTCGTGGACAAATAACAGAAAGCGCCGAGACTCGAGACTTCTGCACGAGTACATCCACCTTCACGAGATCAGCCTCCTCATACACGGCATCATCATAGTCAAGTGAGGCGTAACCGTGTGAGAGACTCGTCACCACACTAAAGAAACCCCGCACGAGATCAGCCAGTGGCATCTTATATCGAGCCACTACACGGGAATCATCCAACACACGCATATCCAGTTGTTCTCCACGAAAGCGACGCACCGCCTCTCCATCAATCGCCTGAAAGTACTCACGTCGTGTGAGAATAGTGGCAGTCACATACGGTTCCAAATAACAGGCCACACCTTCATGCGGCCAACGCCATGAATGTACGGTCAATGGTTTCAGTGCATCTTGACTATCATCACCAGTTTCACGGTATTTGTATTGTACCTGCGGTGGGGTCACAAGTACACGCTGTCCAAACTCTAAAAGGAGTCGTTCCTGAAATACTTGCATATGCAGCATACCAAGGAATCCAAGTTGTAGACCTGGTCCAAGTGCAGGACAGTCAAGTGGCTCAAGTGTGACAGCTGGTTCGTTAATACGTAATTTTTCTACTGCTTCACGTAATTGGGTAACATATTCACCTTCATCTGGATAGAAACCTGCAAATACTACTGGATGTACACGTTTAAAACCAGCTACTGGAACAATACTTTCACGGTTAAATTTTTTTGTTGGTAGTGTGTAAATAGTCTCACCTACTGAGAAGTCCTCACCGCGTAGTTGTGGAAAAACAACGTAACCAACCATTCCTGCTGTGAGGGCTGCTGTAGGACGTAATTCTGGATGAATAATACCTACCTCTTGTACTTCACATCGTTTTTGTGAATGAAAGAATGAAACCACTGATTTGGCAGTTAATGTTCCATCAATAACGCGAATAAGGCATATAACTCCATTTTCCTCATTTTTAGTAGATGTAGCACTTCCACCACCACTACTACTACTACTATTATTATTATTATTACCTTTGCTAGATGTTTGTGCATGACGTAGTCCTCCACCACATTCAGATGTCCACGAATCAAATATAAGAGCACGTAATGGTACCATTTTCTCCTCCATCGCAATTCGTTCTGGACTTCCCGGTAAAAAAGGAGGAAGTTGTCGTGTATCGGATAAACCCACACTACCTGTTGGAGGTGGTACGCGTTCCACAACAGCACTCAACAGGGCCTCAACCCCTAATTGCTGCTTTGCGCTTGTGAAGAGTACTTCACGCCGAAGCAGACCGGTGGAGTCCTCAAGTTCCTGCAGTGCACGTTCCACTGGAACATCATCCAGCACCGCATCCATCTTTGTGAGAACTGGCATAATATAAAGATTGCGATCTAACGCCACGTGAAAGTGTGCCATTGTTTGTGCTTCTATACCCTGCGCCACATCCACAAGAAGCAACGCCGCCTCGGAAGCACTCAGACTACGGGAGACTTCGTACTGGAAGTCAACATGCCCAGGTGTGTCAATGAGGTTGAGTAGATACTCCTCACCTTTGTACATCACAAAGATGGAACAGGTCTGCGCCTTTACTGTAATACCACGTTCACGCTCTACGAGAAGACGATCTGTGTATGTTCCCACCTGCTGGCCGCTGAGTACACCCGTGCGACGCAGAATGGCATCACACAATGTTGTCTTTCCATGATCCACATGTGCGACGACGGCGAAGTTGCGGATGCGGGACGGTGGAAATGAGGCGAGTGCGGCGAGTGTGCGATTCGCCTTTTCATCATGCGGCGGCCGCGGGGCACCCACCAGCGATGAGTCAACAGTTCCACTAAAGAAGGAGGACACAAACGAAGAAGAGGAAGAGGAAGAGGAAGAAGAAGAAGACCAACGTGCGATATGATGTGGATGGATGGGGATGGTACGTCCATGCCAGTGTGGCTTCTGTTGTGTCAACAGGAATGCGCGTTGGGCGACTCGCATCTGAGTTTAGACCCTTCTCCACTCTTCACAGTCCCGCAAAGCTCTCCGCCTTCTTGAGAACACATCATCAAGTAGAAGAAGAAAAAAAAAAAAAAAAAAAAGAAAAAAGAAATTTTCAGTGCAATCAAGTGTTTATCTTCATGCGATTTTTTCACAGTGAGATAACAGAAAAAGTTGTCATGTTATTTTTACTTTTAAATTTTTTTTTTTTTTTTGTTGTTGCCAACAGACAGAGATGGCACTCATTGTAATAATAACAAAAAAGAAAACGAAACGAAACAAAACAACAAAGACAGAAAGAAAAGAAAAAAAAAAAAACACTCTATATTTATCATCCTTTTTCTTTCCTTCCTGTCGTTTGTTTTCTCCAAATGGGATGTATGTTATGTGTACATTTCTTTTTTTTTTTTTTTCAAGTATACTGTTTTACATTTCAGCAACCTATAGCTCTAGAAATATATATATATATAAAACAAAAACATCTCCTTTTCATCTTTTACATAGTATTACTCTTGGAAATCTCCACGTTTGCGCTTTTGTGGTTATAATCTCGAATACTGCTTCGTATCATCATATCCCTCTTTCGTTTCTTTTCCAGCATTGTCATTTGTAATGGAATAGTATTATCACTCAGCGTAATATCATTTGCAGAGATGCATGGGACAGAATAACTCGTACGGTCTTGTTGACGTGGAAAGCGGTCCATAACGTGTTCAAGAACACTTCTAGCAATACCACCACTAAAAGTCTTTTGTTCATTCGTTTTTCGTGCCTCTTGTACAAGAGTTGCCACTGCAGGATCATCTGTGCTTTGTCGTAGACGTGAAAGAAGAAAACGACGGGTGTCTTCGTCTTCTTGGGCGGTGTGCATATCTGTGCAGACGCGTACAAGATGCTGCATCTCATGGGCTCTGGCCTCTACATCTAATAACACCTTTACAAGTTGATCCGCATCTGGGAGAATGGGAATAACGGCAAATCGTTTGACACTATCATCTTTAGAGGAATCCACGCCTTTATTATCTGGACTTGACCCCGTGGCGGGTACAATCCACGCACGACTGCGTAGATCTACCGCTTCTGCAATAGCGCCCCACACTTCATCGCGGCAAACAGATGGAAGAGCGGCAACATGCAGAAGTTTTACACGCTCGAGTGCTGTGGCCTTTACATCCGCAAGACGATCAAAACCAACAGCAGCAAAACAAGCATAAATTTTTACATGTAATCCTAATACATGACACATAGTTTCAGCAAGACGTTTCCGTGCTTCTTGTTTTAATAAATCCGGTGAAAGATGGTATCCTTCCGTCATTAATTCATTCCTTTGGAGTTCATTAAAACGATTTTGCAATTCGTTTATAATAGTCTCACGTCCATGTAAACCAATAAGTTGAAGACCCCACCAATCAGCCCGAAGGATAGGTATTTCTCCTGTTTTGTTCAACTTATATTTACTACTGATCATAGAAGGATCTGTATTATTCTTTACAACTGTTTCTTTACCTCCTTCCACTTCTTCTTGTTGTTCTTGTTCTGCAAACTCAAAGGCTTCTTTTACTTCCTGTAAGTTCTGCACATCATAACGTGTATATTCTGCTTCTCCTCTAATAGCGCACATCTCTGTCCATGTTGGTACAGTAACAGGTTCTTCCTTCCATAGACGTAGTAGTAACTGGGTCGCATTGAGAAAACCATCATCGTCCAAATCTCGTATCTTTTGTGATTCTAAGGAACTCCATTGTAAGAATGCATCTCGTGCTTGAGGACATTCACGAAGAAGATCAGCCAATATAGATAGTAAAAGAGAAAGATTAGAATCTTCTTCAATATTGTACTCTATTGGTTTAGTTTCATCCTCATTCTGAGAGAGTTTTGCGAAAAACTCAACAACAGAAAGAAATATATGAATACCATCTTCTTGAACAAATTCTTCTTCTGCTGCCACATTACCAAGAATAAAAGCCCGTACACAGTGGAGTACTGCAGACATAAGTTCATTATCCCATTCATTTACTTTAGAAACAGATGATACAAAGGATGATACCAATTGTGAGAGTGAAATTCGTAATAATAATAACAAAAGTGATACCCCACCCATTGAAAGGAAAGCCTGTTGTACTGAGGAAACTGTAGAAGAATTTCCCTCAGCGATATTATACATTAATAAAAGACAGTGATTAATGATATCTTGTGAATGAACTGTGAGAGAATATTTTTCTATATTATTATCATTCCTTAATTGAGTATACCATCGTTTGTTTTTCTCTGTTGAAGATGATGACTTTGCTGTTATTTCGTAGGGTTGTTTTTCTTCTACCGTTTTCTTACCTTCTTCCACATGACTAGAAGAACTACTATGCTTGGAAGAAGTATTCGTATTTTGAAATATTTCTTTTCGTAAACGCATTCCTATTTTACCGGTGTTACTTTCTCCTTTTCCTCCTCTTCCTGTTACTGTTCCAGTCATTGTTGTCGTTGTTGTTGTTGTACCTTCTAACTTGGATAGTATTGGTTCTCTATGCAACGACCTTTTCAAATGACTCTTAACCATATGAATAGCTACATTCAATAATAATGGAGTGGGTTCACCATAACTTGATATTGATATTGAATTCATTGCTTCACTTGCAAGAATTTTACACAAATGCGCAGGCGTTCGACTAATCACAGATAAAACACGAACGGCAAGAGAAACCATTCTTTCAGCATCAGCAGTGGTAGCCTGTCGAATATACCGTACGGCACATCCAATACCATCAGCAGCAACAAAAACATTATCAGCATTTGATAATGACGCAGGGATTAGAAATTCCATATGTGCATTAGGTAGACTACTAACACTATTATGTGAACTTGTTATTGTAGTTGTGGTGGCTTTCATTTTTGTCGGGGAATCACATAATTGATATTTAACTGCAGAAGCAGAATATTTTATAGAAGCGGCTGATTCCATTAAAGATAATAGTAAACGCCAGGCTTCTTCCTGAAGTGTAAGTAGTTCTTCCCGTGTCCAAGCCAGAACGAGTTCATCCCCACATGTGGTATCAATATATAATAACAAGACATCAATAAATCCACAACGACAAACATCAAAAAGTAAATCTTCATCATCATTGTGATGATCACTATCATCAATAGATGGACCACCACCACCAGCACTATTGGTATTCTGTTCACTTGTAACAGTGGTAGCTGATGAGGATAATTTTGTTTGTTGTTTTCTACGTCGAGAAAGATTCTTTAAAGCAAGACGAGCAGCTTGCCAAGAGTGGAAAGATTCCAATAATCGCCATGCAAGTAATTTAAATTGCATATTTTCTACCCGTGTGGTTGGAGATATAACTGTATGATAACGTACAAATTCTTCTACAGGTCGACGTGTCATTTTTGCAGTACTACCAATCATACGTAACTCAGGACCACAAACTAAATCAAATACTGTAAGCGCAATCGTATTAATAGCATTAACAGTTGATCGTGGTAAAGGAGAAGGAATATCTGCGTCTGATGATTCCATAAGGTTTTTTATTTGTTCTTGAATAGTTGCCGTACTGTTGTTTAGTATCATTTGCAGTAATATCACCATATCATTACGTATCTCTCGTTGACGAACACGATGTCCAGAGAGAAGTATTTGTACAAATCCCTGTAATAATGACTCTGTTGCTGAAAGTAAAGAGAGTGATCCTAACATTTTACCTGTACTTTCTTTCTGATGTAGTAGTGAGGCTGACTCCCAATCATCATCCCTGTTCACAACATGATACAATATAGAATGTACTGTTTCCTGTGGAACGACTTCCAGCAGATTCCACAGACACTCCACACAAAGTGGAAGACAATGATCCCCTTCTGTACATCTGGCAATGGTTAAACATAACAGAACAGCGAGACCCACAGATGTCTCACCATTACCATTACCTATTTCAACAAGATACCGAGCATGATGCTTATATGTAGAAAGATGTAAACAAACACGTAACAGTAAATAAATTTCTTTCGCATCTTCTTCAGACATACGTACTCGTGGAGCAATAACGGTCAATCCATCTAAAGATTCTATAGGGGAAATACCTCTCTTCCTGCTACCACCATTTGTTACAACTACCATTGACATCTTTGCTTCTTCTTCACCTTCTTTCATTTCATAAACACTTGGTGCATCAATGGTTGCTGGATGACGATAAAGTTGTCGTCCAGAGTCAAGTAGGGCATTTGGTGGTACACAATGATGTAAGAGTTCATTCCATCGATCTACAAGAGGTGATAATACATCCACTGCAACAGCATCATTGTAAATACTTAACGGTCCTGTATTATTCTTGTTACCATGTACATTTGTTGGTACCTGTAAATTTTTTTGTCGTAAACCTGTTAAACGAAATACCCGTTCTCCAGAAGAGGCGCTATCCGATTGAGGTGATACGGTTAATATAGACATTTCATCTCCTTTTTCAACAAGAGAAGGTTGTTTTTGTTGCGTTTGTTGTCTTCGTAATTGTAGATCTACAATAATACCATTTGTGTTACCTGTCATTGAAGGGTCTGTATATTCTTCAGTTATAGCTTCATTATATCGTTTTCGATCACGTGGTGAGAAGTGTTGATTTAATTCTGTTAATTCTTCTGTGGCAATAAGGGTCATAAGTGTATGGAGAGATACAAGTGCCGCATGACGAATCTTAAATGACACATCCTTTGATTGCGATATAGAAATACTCTTTTCTTCTCCATTCTTTTTCTCACTACCGTTATCTTCACTGTTACTCTCTTTTAAGGAAGAGGAACGCCATTCTTGAGACATGGTTTCCGGAGTCACCTGTAGCATAGAAGCCATCGCTGTAGCTAATATACGTACAGCCGCACTACGTTGACGGTGATCCTCAGGTGTTAAACAAACAAGAGGAAGAGCACAGTGATATAAAAGTGCTTGTAAGGCTGCAGGAATATCTCGTAAGACCGGAGTAGACTGTAAGGAGTTACTTTCATCATATTCACGTAAGGTTGATGTAGGACTTTGTACTTGTTTAGGTAAAATAACCATTCCAGTTTCAGATAAAGCGTTAGATAATGGATTACCACCTTTTCGTTTACGTACACTAGTTGCCTTTTCGCCTACATAATTCTTTGTGGATGTATTTTCTTGTATTTGCTTTACTGACTTTGGTCGTTGTCCATTCTCATTTGTCGTCTTTGCCGCCGCTGCCGTGGCTGCAGCTGCAGAAACAGGCAAAACATTATTGGAATTCGGTGGAGACGTCGGAAGACGAACAAGTGGTGGTAAGAATGATAAGACATTTGTAGAGGCAGCGACATCACCCACACTGCTACTATTACTACTACTTCCAGTTAGACTAATCCCTTTGGTAGATCGTACACTATTTCCGCGAGAGGCAACTGGACGATGAATGGTTTTCACCCCACGTTGTTCTGCAAGTGGAATAACTGTCGTCTTTACTTTAGGATTTATTATTGCGATGGGACTTCGGCGAATTGGTGTTAGTGCCTGAGCTGTTGTGCTGTTTTCTTCAATGGGCTGCAGGAGATAACCCTGCATAACGGCTCTAGAAAGCATAAAGAGAATATCTGGGATTCCCGCAAGAACCATAGTGGGAGTAAATCCCATAGGAGCATCACATCGCAAGAGTTCATCAATCTCCACTACGTGACGAAGAAAATGATGTGCACTGCTTGAACTCTTAATTTGACTGACAATTTCCTCCACACGGTGCTGAAGATATGTTTGGGCATCCTGTGCAGGACGTTTACTCTGAGAGTGATAATGCCGCATTTCTGTCATGGCACAACTAACAGTTAACTCGGCAACAGGAGGTGAAGTTTCGCCCTGTTGTTGTTGTTGTTGTTGTTGTTGCCTCTTGGCACTCACTCCTTTAGTTGGAGAGGGTATCACTGCATAGTTTCTTGGCATTCAAGGAAAGTAATGGTCAAAGACCAAATCCCCCAGCTATTCTTGATGTCCTTTATTATTACTCTTGTTGGTCAAGTGGTACACCTACTAGTAGTGACTAGTTTGCAAAAACTTAATAGATTGAAGCAAATAAGGAAGAAAGAGTAGAAAGTCAGTAAACTTTTGAGTTGTCAAAGTAATCCATAAGAAGAAGAAGAAAAACAAACATATAAGAAAAAATAATGATAATATATATATAAAGACTTTCAACGAAAAAAAAAAAAAAAAGATGAGAAATCGCACGTAAACAAATTCTGCAGAACATTCACACACATAGACACAGACACAGCAAAAAAACAAAAAAAAATTGAAAGGGTAAACTTTAAAGTGGAGACTTCTCAAACTGCAAACTGGAAACTCCCATACACACAAACACTCACAAGGGAAGGGAGAAAGAGAAAAAAAGGAAAACAAAAATAAACTCAGAACAAAAAAAAAAAACAATAAATTTACCGTATGTCTTCCTCTGGGTCTATTTCAGGTTCCTGTTGTTGTTGTTGTTGTTCCTGTTGTTGTTGATTGTGTGGATTTGGGTGTGGAGCTCCACTGGCCTCTGTACTTTGAATCTTTAGTTTCTTTGCCAGTTTTGAAACCTCAGCGGATATAAACTGCAATGTCTGATCTTTCAATGCATCCTTCAGACTTTCCACATCTCGTTCTCTAAAACTATCCAGCAGTGCTGCGACTGTTACTTCTTCACGCGATCCCGCAAAACCCGGTACATTCCGCAGAACTCCCATCTCCTGCTGTGCCCAGACAATATCTCCACATGATAGACACAACACAATCACTTCAAGCACTAACTTGGCTGAATTGTGCGGTTGCCCAAGACGCTCAAAGACACCTTTCTTACTTACAGACGATTCAAATCCAAGTTCTCTTTTAAGCACCTTCACAGCATTTGGTATATCACCACTGCGTAAATAGGTTAACATCCATGTACTATAAATATCAGGTAGTCGTACAGCATATACTTTCTGCTCCTCTTCATGTTCCTCTAACGTATTGACGGCAAAACAAAACAAGTCCGTAACTCGCTTTAAATTCTGTCGTTTTTGTTCTTCTGAAAAACCCAATAAGTTCTCAGAAGAACGTGCGCTCGCTGTGGTTGGGTTAATAAGTTGTGCCGCTTTAGTGATTACATCCGCCCCTTTATCAAATTTATTTTCTTGAACATACAAATGGCAGGCTTTATCATAAGTTCCAATGGCTTCATTTAAAAGTGAAATACTGTTATTTTTATTAATGTTTCCACCCTTTCCAGCGTTAGATATCGCTTGCTCAGCTAAAAATGCGGCTAAACATTCCATGGCACGTGCTGCAAAGAATTGATTTCCTGCACGTTCATGTGCATCTGACGCTTTTAGCCATGCATCACGTGCTTTTTCAATGTTTTTAATGTAAGTGAATATCTTCGCAGCCTTTTCATAGTCATTGGCTGCCTCATCCCAGTTGGCTTTCCATTTGAAGAGACCCTTTTCCGTGTGTTTTTTGGCACTATGCATGAGCGCCTCCGCCTCCTTTATATCGTTACCGCTCATCACAGTAATTGGCAGAGAAATATAAAGAGTAATTCGTTTTTTTTTTTACTATTACTACTATAATTATTACAATTACGAATGCTTGTTATTAAGAATATAGGGAAGAGAGTGAGTGACAAACAGTTCTACATCACATTACACAAATACAAACACACACACATACACACCCAGAGATACCAAAAGGAATATATATATATATATATATATATATATAATACACCAAGAAAGAGGGAAAAGTACAGCAATCATAATAAAATAAAAAATAATAATAAAATAAAAAATGAAACTGGGTTGTCACTTTGCTCGACAAAGTTAACCATGAACGATAAAAACCATCTATACTCTTGACACCAATTGACCTACGTAGATATATAGAAGATCTATATAAACTGTTAGTGTGTGTTACAAAGACAGCAAAAAAAAAAAAAAAAAAAACGATAGAAAGGTAACAATAAATAAAATTAAAGAGTAGGAAGGCTATGCTTAACGTCCCCAACTCGTATTTTTTTTTTATTTTTATTTATTCTTGCTGCAGTGTTGTAGATTGATGTTGCGATCTCCGTGCGGTTAAGGGTGTCTTTGGACTTTTGTTTTTAAACTGTTCTCTCTTTGACTTACACCATGATTTAGGCGGGAGTGTAGTGATACCCACACCGCGGTCTGGTGTGTGTTGATGATAAAGTGTCTCATTTGTGTACCCCACTGCGGCGTATGGGGCCCGGCGCCACGGCGAGTACTGAAAGGTGTCACCACAAGAATGTCGATAACTAAGAAGATGTTGCTGTTCCAAATAATTATGATGATATTTCTTGTTTTTGGTAGAATGTCCCATTCTTAAGAGTGGGGAGGTTTTATTTTCTTCTTCCATACCTTTCATTTCGTTATCTTTTTGCATACTCCCGTCAACGAGACTCTTTTTATTATTATGATGATGATGATGATGATGATGATGATGATGATTGCGAGTGGAGATCCTTGTACGGGGTTCACCATCATCATTATCATTATCATTATCACTGTTGTCATTCTTGTTATCTTTTTCATCTGCAGTAACAGTCTTTAGTAGAGATTGTGTGTTTAAATCACCGCTTTCTTTACTGTTTCTTAATTTCTCTTGACAATTATTACAAAAAGGACTATCCTTGCGGCGTAATTCCTCTAGTGCTGTTTCTAGTTGCTTTTCACGAAGTTCCAGTATGGACAATAATTTTTCTGATTGTTCCTGCGACACCCGAAGTGTATTCGTTATTTGATGGACTTCATTCTGTAAAGTCTCTTGTTGTTGTTGGAATTGCGTTATCTTTTCACCATACACTTCACATACAACATCAACTCGTTCTTCAACCGCAGCAAGAGTGGTAGACTTTACTTCTGCTTGTTTTGTAGACACCGCATGAATTTCATCATGTAAAGAGTTCATCTCATCTTTATACCGTTTCTCAATAAAATTCATGCGATGAGTAAGCTCCATTAGTTCCTTTCGAAGGTTCTCAATACAAAGAAGATATTCATTTCTCTCGGTCTTTAAAGTTTTAGTTTCCTCATAAAGACGTTTATTTTTATTCTTAATGCGCTCATTTTCTTCCCGAAGTGTGTGCAGATGTTCCTGAAAATTATTCTCTTCCAGTGTCATCATCTCTGAAGTCTCCGGTATGTTGACATATCCATATCCATTTCTATTCACTTCTTCTTCCTCTTCTTTTTCTTCTTCATCTTCTTGATGTAGTGGATATTCCTCTTCTTCTTCTTTTTCTTCTACTTCTACTTCTTTTGGAGACATTTTACCACGGATAGATTGTTCACCTTCATTAGATGAGTTCTCATTGCTATTCACACTCTTCTCAGATGTGTGTTCCTCCATCGAGTACTCTGCCACTTCCTCAGCCTTCTTCTCCTTCTCCTTCTCCTTATCATCATCATCATCATCAGCATTGTGCTCAACAACAACTACTGCTCCTAGTGATGATGGTATTTCATCATCCTTCACTTGCGGTGAGTGTAGAGATGGATGGAGTGCACGAAAAGCCACCAGAAACTCACTTCCCTCTTCCGTATGATTCTTCACAAGATCTTCTAACCACTCGGGTGTGTAGGATTCCCCAGATTCATCAAGAATTTGTTGCAGTGCAGCACGAAATTTTCCCTTTTCATATTGGACAATATCAGGAAGTGTTTCCAACTCTGCTGCTTTGATATCACAATCAGGCGATATCATTTCTACTGCAGAACTAGAAGAAAGAAGAGCCATTGGGGTGAAAAAGGCTTTTTTTGCCTTCTCATCTCTTCGCACACGAAAACAATAGGGCACGTCATCAAGTGTTTTCCCAACAAGAACGGCATATGTAACACCGTCCTTCTTTACTTTGAGAAAACGTGAGTCTCCGATATCCCACCAGTGAGGCAGATGGAAAGATTTACTGGAAAAAGGAGAGTGAACACCATCACGGACTTGAGGGAATAACGATCTTTGAAAAAATGAGGTACATGCTGATGAGGACGATGATGATTGTGGTAGTATGATCTCTGTATCATTCCTGCTGATATCATTACTCCCATTAACAGCATTATGTTGATATCCCTCACCTTGACTAGCGTCCGGCTTGGATAAGTTCTCGTTCGGCCTCACTTCTTCCATCTCTTCTCACTACAGAATACAGATTAATTTACTTCACACACCGCAGATGTTTATATATATATATATATATATATATATATATATATATATCTCAATATATATGTATATGTACCTTTCTGCTTCCCACAGCAGAAAGAGGAGTCTCCGTTTACAATCCTAGAAGAGGAAGTATATGGATGCAGACTACAAGAGAAAATGATAAGGAGATACATAAAAAAAAAAAAAGAGAAGATTAATGGTTAGAAGAAAGAGTAAACATCAATTAAGTGAGACATAACATTAATTTATGTACACATACATTTCATTCTCTCTTGGTGAGAGAGAGATAGGAGAAATGAAAGGAAGGAAGAACGAAAGAAAAAAAAAAAAAAAAAAAAAACCACCAACAAAACATCTCCACACTCGCTTCGAAACGAGACACAAGAACACTCACAAGATATAGAGTAAGAGAAGATACAACAGAAACCCATGCCCCATTTTGGGATCTCTTTTTTCAGAGATTTATTTCCATGGGTATATGTGCTGCAGTCTTGTCTTTCATTTCTCACCAACTCCACTACACAGACGTCAAAAATAGAAAAAAACGAAAAAAAAACCTCCTCTCACTTTATTACTTACTCTGCAGAAAGAAAGAGAGAGAATAAATAGGGATAGTGGAGAGGCGATCAATATACAGAAATGATAAGAAATCAAACTCAAGGAGAACCTGCTTTTTCTTTTTCTTTTCTTCTTTTCACGTCTACATAATCACTTTCTTTTTCTTTTTCTTTTTTTTCTTTTCTTCTTTTTTTTTTTTTTGTTCTCTTATCTTCATTGTTTCCAGAGATTTGTAGATGATGCATCAACACAAGGACACGAGAAGGGCACATACCCCACTCAAAAATACAAACACTCATACATAAAAGAAAATATGATGGAAAGGAAAAACGTAGAGAAATAACACCCCCTAAAGGTGTATTCAAATACCACCAGTACAGCTATAGTGATCAAAAAACAATGATATCAACAAAACCGCATATTCACACACATTTTTTTTTTTTGTTTTCTCGTTCGCACACCTTCTTCCCTCCCTCTACCCCCCC